AGGCAGTTCTGCAGAATGCTTTAGGGCTAGCGGGGCATGCGCGAACCACCTCATCGCCCGGGGCAGGGGAGTGGCTTTGATCCTGGAAGCTGCTGGTTTAGCCTTAAGCCCATTTCTCCGTCTTCCCTGCCTAGTATGTTCTCCGAAAATTTCCTTTCCTACTAAGACGAACCGGGGAGGATGTGATTTGCAGCCAAAACTTAACCCTACCCAGCGGGGAACACACTATGATATGTGATAGGACTGCGCTTGCAGAGGAGGGTTCAAGAAAGCTCTTCTGGAGGCACCCCGGTGGCTCATTCTGTTAAGTGACTCTTGATTTGATTTTGGCTCAGGTCATGACCTCACGGTTCTCATGGGAGGGAGCCCCCAGTCGGGCTCCGCGCTAATGGCATAGAGACTGCTTGGGAGACTCTCTCCCTCTCTCTCTCTCTCTGCTCCTCTCTCCTGCTCTCTCTCTCTCTCTCCCTCAAAATAAATAAATAAACTTGAAGAAGAAGAAAAAGAAGAAGGAGGAGGAGGAAGAGAAAGCTTTTCTAGTAGGGAAACGTGTATCTCTTAAATAAACGGATTCTAATGCTAACTTGCCTTGGTACAGAGGAGCCCTGCAAGGGTCAGGAGATTTGAGGGAGCTGTTCTTGTGTCTTGGAACACATAGAGAAAAAATAATTGCAGCCAGCCCAAACACAGGACCCCATCTACTTTCACGATACAAGCAAAGAAGGAACAGTCTAGACGGAGTGGTTCCAGGAGTATTGCCTTTCTCTCCCTGCCTGAAAGGTCACCGTCAGAGAAAGCTCCCCCTAGGTCTGGAACACTGTTTCCATCTTCACGAGTGTCCTGTCGGAGGGCGAGTCCTTGTGATCGGGCTTCCCCCTTGATCAACAGCTGCATGGCAGACTTTAGCTGACCCAGTTCTTGGGAAAGACACCGGAAAAGCCTCAGGAAGAGGAAGGCGGCAGGATGTTGACAACACATTGCACGTAGCTCCCCAGAGCTGGCTCTGTTGTCAGTTGTGAGTCAACATGGTTTTCAAAGAAATTAGAACGAAAACATCGCATCTTACGTGGTTCTTTGACAATCAAAACAAGAGCGAGACAAACCTCTCTCCTGTTTCAAATGTGATTTCCCTAAATGAAGGAAATCTAAACATATGGCACAAAGCTTTAAAATCTGTTCATGTGTGAATGTCATGATAAATTTGGAACCGGTGAGTGTTACCAACCACCAGGCCGTGTCCTCTGGAAATGGAAGGGAATCTCCCGAATTCATCTTCTCCTCTTGCTGTGGAGCTGGCTAAATCTGTCGGTGGCGACCACCTTCCTCCCAGATTGGCCATGAAGTTTTGAGGAAAGAGCCCTATTTGCCAGGCTTAAGTATACCGAAGGGGAGGTTAAAAACAAGACAATGTGGGCAAAGTTAAATGCTGCAAAAATCTGGTGCCTTTGGATGTTTGAATCCTACTTCCATCTACTATGTGACCTTGGCTGAGTCACTGGACCTCTCTAATGCTGTTTCCTCATCTATTACATGAGAATGCTCCTTTCTCAGCTTATAAAACTGTTATGAGGAGAATATTGATAACATTGGCCAAATACCCCGTCATGGTAAAGGCTGAAGAAATGGGAATTATTAAATGACAAACAGGCCTCTACCTTCAGCCTAACCCGTGTAATGGCAAGGATAAGGGAATATGAGCTTCTAGTTGAAGCCTCTAGAAAGGTTATAAGCCAACTACAAGGATGCAGTAAGTGACCTTCGGAGGGGAGAGTTAAAAATGCAGCCTGCCTTCATCAGTGAGCACACAAGTTCATTATCAAATTGTTCATTAATCTCTGCCACAGCTTTTCATTTGGAATTGAAATAAGAGCACGACCGGCCCTTTGGACATCGTGCTTACGTTTTTATTGTGAGTGCTAACAGGTCGGGGGCTAGACGCTAATGGACAAATAGCCCAGATGTAAAGAGCGTTCACTGGAAGACTCTTAATGGACAATTAATTATGCACAGCAAACAAGTTCAGAGCAGAAGATGCCACTCGAAAATTGTGAATTTAGTCCAGGTTGAAAGATACAGGAATGGTTAAGTGTTTTGCACACAGGAAATCTGGTTGGCGATCCAGTGGAATTGATGCGTGTAGAACACAGTCTCTTAAGGGTTTTGCTTTGCTTCTTTGAGAGAGGCTGTTGTTGTCTGTCAGTTCAGCTGGGGGTCCCTTCCGTCACGTTGAGAATCTGGAGCAGAGAGTCCACCAGCTTGAAAAATACGAGAAAGGGTTAAGCAAACATCGTTCGCGATACTCAAGTTCTAATGCTAGAAGCAAACGCATTCCCAACAAACAAACCATCAGTGTCACTCGGGAGCTTCGTAGAAAAGCAACTTCCTAGGCCTACGCCAGGTCTACTGAATTGGAAACTCAAGGTGGAGCCCAGCGATCCGGGCTTTCCGAAATCCTCCAAATGATGCTGAGTACATTCACGCTGGAGAACCACAGCCGTCCCCCCCCCCCCCCCAAGAGAGAGAAACTCACTTCCTCTTTTTCTGGAGCCCCCTACCTCTTTCGGCTCTTTTTAATTTTGAAATACGTCTTTGTTCCCATAGAGCACCCTCTATATGCTGAGATGAGAAAACGCTTTTCAAAAAGAGCTTATTACACTTGCTAAGATTCTCAGACAGTTCAGGCTCCCCAATGGTTAGACCAGCCATTTGTTTCTAATAAAGGAATTACTGATATTCTCAGACCAGTTATTACCTGCTCTGTGGCTCAACTGGTTTGACCAGGTGCTAATGAGGCCAGGGCCTGGGGTTCAATTCCCACACCGACCAATTAGTTTTGCTCTTCTCCACAAGCCCAGGCTGCACTATTAAGGGTTCGCCAGCCTGCCTGACGATGCTACCATCCATCTCGCAATATGAGCCACGGGTCATAAAAGGGGCCAGGGGAGGGTGAGGGGCAGAATCCAGGAAGCCCCTGCATTGGCTCAAAATATTGAATCTGAGCTGTCTGGCTCAAGGGAATGGAAGTAAAGCTACAAGGAAAAGAGGAATTAGTAACCTAGGAAGATCAACGCCTGGAGGCGAGGGGGGGGGGTGTCCGTTATTGGGGCCGGAGGAGCTCTCTTTGAGGTGGGGGGGTAACTTCACTCTGCTGCCTCAGAGCAACTGTCGGGGCAATCGGAGAATTTTTAGTTATTCTTCAGGACATGTTGCTGCTTCTCCTGTATCTGGAAATTCCCTTGGAGCGTTTCACATATCACAAAATAAAACCTTTCAATTCTCTATGTTGATTTGATGGGGCAGTGGGAGTCATCCCTTAAAAGTGAGGGCAGACTTGCCTTCACAAAGTTTCCTTCCTTTCTGTAACACCCTCTGCAATGCACTCACAGACCCTTTCAGGTCCACCAAATAAGAGAAAAAAACTAAGGCTGCAGAGAACATTGCTGTAGGTCCGGCAACCCACAGGCCAGCTTCAACCTTCACTGAAACTCAAGACTTTCCACAGCCACATCCAGGGCTATGGATCAGGCCCTCGGGTTGACCTGAACATTGCTTCGTGTGCTAGAAACCATAGGATAAACGTTCCATTAATTTTTTTTGAGATAGGGTACAGTTGAAAGATTAAGGTTGGGGCACCTGGGTGGCTCCGTCAGTTAACCGTCCAACTTCGGCTCAGGTCATGATCGCTCGGTTCATGAGTTCGAGCCTCAGGTTGGGCTCTGTGTTGACAGCTCAGAGCCTGGAGCCTGCTTCGGATTCGGATTCTGGGTCTCCCTCTCTCTCTGCCCTTCCCCCGTTTTCTCTCTCTCTCTCAAGAATAAACATTAAAAAAAAAAAAAATTAAGCTTAACCTTGAAAATGATTGGCCATAGCTACTAATAAAGTTCTGGAGCTTATTTGCCAGGATAGAGTGGTCTAGATTCAGTGCACATTTACATAAATCTTTTCTGAACCAAGTAAATAACTTTGTCACCAAAACATAGGAAGATGCTCAGAGTTTCTGACTACAGCTCTGGGAGACTTGGCAAGAGGACTTGATGCTTTATTACCGAAATGGGTGAGGAGAGCATATGTGGATAGAATTTAATTTTAAGAAAAGTCCTTCAGTCCCTGAAAGTTCTAGCTGCTACCTTCTGGCAATGCTTGGCTAAGTTATTAAACCTCTTTCTAACACTGAGCGATGTACGGATTTCTAATAGATCTATTCTCGTGGTACTCCCTCTTCGTGAATAAGATAACTGTATGGTGTTTTCAACTGGCACATCCACATTCTTTCACGAAGATGGAATTTCCAAAGCAAGGAGGGTAACAGACTTTTTGGTCTAGGCAACAATGACTCCAGCTATTGACTTTGTTCCTATCGCTGGGAAATGTATCCAAAAGAACGGTACCCACGTGTGCAATAGTTAATTATTCAACCTAAGGTGGAATGAAATGGAATGGGCTTTCTAAACTTGTAAAGAAGACCAAAACATAAAAAGATGTAGTAGGAAAGCGAGGCCTGATTACAAAAAAGATGATTTTTTCCCCTCCGGTCACATGAATGCTGATAAACATTGTCCCCCTGAAACACTCACTGTCTGTGACTGCCCACTCAACCCACCCTGTACTATGACCACTCAGAGATCTCTCTAGACCTATTCTTTCATAATTGGCTTCGCTGCGTACAGAATGTTCTTCTGAATATGGCAGGAAAATTTTGATCTTTAAGGACAGAGCTGAATTTTTTTGGAAAACCCTCCAAAGTTATGCAGGGCCGGGTTTGGAGGAATAAAGCAACTCAAAGGGATGTTGTAGTTTCGTTCAAAAATGAATGAGCCGGGGGGCCCCTGGGTGGCTCTGTCGGTGAAGCGTCCGGCTTCGGCTCGGGTCACGATCTCGCGGTTCGCGGGTTCGAGCCCCGCGTCCGGCTGTGTGCTGACAGCTCGGAGCCTGGAGCCTGCTTCGGATTCTGTGTCTCCCTCTCTCTCTCTGCCCCTCCCCCACTCACATTCTGTCTCTCTCTCTCTCTCTCTCAAAAATAAATAAACATTAAAATCAAATTAAAACAAAACGCATGAGCTATGAGTGTACGTCCATTTCAGCATCTGTGAAATTGCTTTGGAGGGTTTTGTGATGGCAATTGTCATTAGTCTTCAAAGGAGAAGGCACTGCTGTTGGACATCCAGCCACAGGAAGTCCATAAAGTCAGCTGACCAAGAAAAGGCCTCAGCCAGGAGCTGAGAAGTCAGTCACAAACCCCCCCAAGCCCTCGGGGCCATGTCACCCCCCAACAAAGAAGGGAGCCGGTCGTGACACCTAGACCGCGGATGTGAGCGAGAGCATCACTCAGGACTTTGTGCAAAGTTGCTACTTATTTCTGTATCCGTTGATTTAATCCAGATTTTCTTTGTGAATGAAGGCTACTAGAGTCTTCCTCCCGAGGTCCTTCATGCTACTTCTGTAGCCTGCACCCTTCATATTTGAGGTCAGCGAGGACCAGCCGGTCCCCAGGAGACGTCTCACACGGCAGCATACCGTCCAAGGGACACAGCGCCGGCCCCTGCCCTGCTCTCGCTGCTGAAGAGCTATGTGCCTACTCTCTGTTTCCTCACCTTTAAAATGGAGAGAACAGTAGGATTTTCTCGAATCTTCCTCCGAAGTCTGCTGTGAGCATTCACAGAGAAAATGCGGGCAAACTGCTTGGGCCAGTACTCAGTTTAAGGTACAAGTTGCCCATCACTAGGATTGCAAGAATTTCAGTTTTATTATTTTTGCCGTTTATATAAATTTCACGGACACTTCTTCAAGGGTGATGAGAATCACCTCATTTGCCGTTGCCTTGCTTCCTTTCTTTACATCTTCTTCTCCTTTCCATCCCATTTCCTGTCTTTGTATCTAAGCAACGCCAATTTGGTATGATTGTTTTCGCTTCCCTTCTACAAGAGTGCCACTTTGCATAAAAGGTCGCAAACCAGAATGCTCTCTTCTAAAAGCCTGTGTGAAGCGCCCCTCCCACTAGTGCTCACCCAAAACAAACAGAGGAATTGACTCAAATAATTTCTGGCCTCACCATCAAAATATTCTGGGAGGGCCCGGCGGGCTGAAAACAACAAATCTCATCAGGGCACAATCGCTATTAAACACAGTAATTAATAAAACTCCTAAACTGGAGTATGGAACCAATACCCGTCTGAGACGCAGGGAGGAAACATCGCCTATTCTGGTGGAAAGAACACAGAAGTGTCTGCTCGTTTCTCAGCGTGTATGGATGTCTGCCTAATTAAGTGGCTGTGAAGGCCTGCATCTAAACAATTTTATTCTTCTCTGCTCACACCTAACCTCTTTGTGACTCTCCCCAAACACCCCCACCCCACCCCACTTCCCCAGCACATTGTACCTTTACGTTTTGAACCTACAACTTTAAAGGCGCTGCCATCCTGGGAATCCCAAGGGGACTGGCGGATGGCCAGGAGCTCCCTTTGAGGTGGCTGATAGCTTCCGGTCCCCTTTCCTTCCATGAGGCTGAGCAAATTCCTTGCAGCTTCTTCCCAAAGAATATACTGCAGCTGCTGCTTCAGACTCCCCCCTTCATAAACATACGGGGACTCTCTCGTGCTCTTTTTCCCCATCAGGTGCCCTGTAAAAAGAAACACAAAAACAGAATGCCACCGACTGAGCCCAGGGGAATGAAGAAACCAGAAATTTCAAAGGACCCCCCTCTAGGTTGGTACTGCTTCCTCCTAGGTGCAGAATAAACAGCATTTTATTATCAGAAGTTAGTTCTGGCAAACGTCTGGCGTCTTCTGTTCCCTGTTCGAAATGTGCGATCAGCTGGACAAAACTTAAAACTGCAACTCAGGGGACCTTGGTTTGGTCCCAGCACCTCGGCTAACCGGCTAGGTCACCTCTGCCAAGTTACTGAGCATCCCCGGGGCTCAATTTCCTCAACTATCGAATGAACAGGTGGGACTAGATGAGGCCTGAGGAACCTTCCATATCTAAAATGCCACCGCCGATTCTGTGTGCACCGAATCCTGTTCCCACCCGCGTGACGGAGGTTCAACATCTTCCTCAGTCAGTTGTGGACTGCTACCGAAAAGAAAAGCCTTGATGCTTTCTCTCATGTGATGAAACAAGATGTTGCTCTCCTCTTATCTCTAACACAATTGCACCAAAGGAAGTTTTCATTTCAACTTTCTTAGAATTTGGGCTGAGATTGAATCCAAGAAAGGTCGCTCAGAAATTCTCATTTGTTGGGTATGTGATGAAAAAAAGGATTCGAAACAGGTTCCGAGCAACACGTAGCAGCCCCGTACCTGCAGATTTTTCTCTGGGATGTCTACAAGACTCCGTGAAAGTCTACCGATGGCTCCAGGGATGCGTTCCTGCCACATAAATGAATAAAGGTTGCTGTGCAGGAGGCCAGGCCGCTAAAAACGTGGCAATTCATGTAGGCAAGTGGGGATAGCCATAGCGTCAGATGTGGGTATGGAATCCAAGGTCTGCTCTGCTTGTTAACACCTTAGCCCCGTGCTAATAATACTCACATTATCTGACTTTCGTCAGTGCTCCCCTATCCCCATCTCTCTGCAGTTGGAACTTATCGGACTCTTAAACTCCTAAGACTAGGAGACCAACGATGCCTTTGACTGAAAGGTCGCAAGGAAAGCTCTTTGAGGTTCTGATGCTGCCTGGCCTTAGAAGCATTTAAGGTAAACGGCGTGGGAATAATATGTAACAGACCCCAGTCAGTGAACCTGACAAGAGCTCTGTCCGCCAACAGCGACGGCCTTGCTGTGACTTTACGGCAGGCGGGTGTTTCCAGGACGTTTCGCTCGATCTACCCCACAATAAGTTGGACGAAAAAGAGACCTGTCAAAGGTCACCCACGCGTAAGCGAAGACCCTAGGATTAAAATCGGCTCACACTCTAGACTCTACCACATGACTCTGCTTCGAAGCGTCTTTGAACTTCCTGAAAATACAAGGCAGGAAGAAATCAGTCTGGGGTCTGGAGAGAAGGGTAAGGCCTACAAAAGGCTGATGTTAGAACGGAGGAACCGGGGATCATATATCGGTCGATCGTGACTCCTTAGGTGACTCGGAGATGTTCATTCGGTGGGTATCGGGGAGCCTTCACAAGGGGTTTTACTGAACTGCCGTCTGAGCACTTGCCAACCCACTTAGGACATGCCACCCCACAAAGTTGGGACGTGCTCCCGACCGAACGCGTGGAATCCTGAAGGCCTGGCACCTCACCTATCTGCTTGGTCACCGGCGGGGGGGCCCGGGTAGCCACGAAATAACCTTGCTCTTAGCCCTAACAGTGATTATGGGGCACAACTGCTCAGGAAGCAGCAAAGCATTTGGCTTTATTTATATGGAGGAAATTGAATCGCGATAATGGGAAGGCAGGATTAGAACCTGATGCTCCAGTGATGACCTCGGTCCCTCTGCTCTCCCTCATTACTCTCATCAGGATGCTAGAACTGAGAAGGGTGTTACTGCCAATGAAGCGGCGGGTGGAGGGGGGCAACGGAGATGTTTTTACAAATGGGAACTACATTGTTGTCATGCCCGAATAATTTGGTGGACTGTTCTGAAACGGGAAGATAAAGCAATCCTCCCTTCTGTGACTGATTGAACACAGGACCTTGTGACAGGGTGCATATTTGCACGTTTGGTGGGTGGTGTTCAGACTCCTACCCCCAGATCCACGGTCTGCTTATGAGGACTGGAAGTGCACCAGCCACAACGTCCCAGGGAAGCACACACTCCTTGGGTCCTATTTCACTTTGGAGCTGGCAACTACCAACGAAATAACCGTCTCCATGGCAACGTGGATATGGATGACCCGTCCACCTCTATTTCTCCCATCACCGTTTGTTACGTGTCCATATCATAGTAATAGAGACCTCAGCATAGACAAAAGACAGGCCCTTGAAAACAATAAAACCTTGCCCAGAAGTAAAAAAAAACAACAACAAACTTTTGTTCCTTATAATCGCTTAAAAATACCACTAAAATAGCAGGTTTGAAACATAAAGCAATTTTCCTGAGCTCCAAATTTGACGATCACCTCAACTTAGGAAGATATCCATTAAGACATAAAGTGTTGAGCACTTCTAAGAGCTGGGTTTTTTCTGGAGTGATCCTTAAACTATATCTCACAGTTTCTGGGGGCAGCCCTACAATGGAAAGGCACCTGCAGCTGAACCCCGGTGTTTCCGAATGCAGCCTGCCAGGACACGCTTGGGCATCAAAGTTAGAGCCACTGCCAGGAGCATTTCATGGGAGCGGAGGGGAGAGTTACCAGCGTCAGTGTGGACCTCTATTTTCATCGCACAAACAAAACATTTCCATAAACATCAAGCCACATAAGAATTTAAGTTTTCCATCTGCTAACTTGCTTTCCGTTGCCACACCATGCCTCTCTCAGCTGCAAGAAGCAATTCCCTTAACAAACCTGCAAATTGGTGCTGACAGCTTCCTCATGGACAGCAATATGTAGCTTTCGTTTGATATAATTAACATGAAACTGCAAATCTTCAGGGATTGAGGAGGACAGACATTTACTTATGGTAGTGGAGGGCTAAATTTAAAACCTAACAACACCATTCATGCTTATGAGTGCTCAGATTCCCACGGAGAGCATGTCTGTCCAAAGCAAACTTTCTCTCAATCCCAATGTTATTTTAGACCCAACTGTGATTTTCTACTTCACCTCCCTCTGTCTCTTGTTCCAATCAGCTCTGCGCAGCCAGCCAAGAGAGAAAAAGAGTGCATTCGAGAACAAATAGGAAAATAAGAAAATTTGGGGTGGCCGCTGGTCGGTGTGTTCTAGGAAAGTCCAAGCACCATCAGGAAGGAAGGGTGTTTAAATGCCAGGCACCCTAAGTCCCGGGGGTGGGGGGACAGATGTGCCGTGGGACTACAGCCGTGGAGGTTGGCTTGCATCAGAAACGACCTGACTCTAGCTTCCCAAATAACTCTCTTGTTCTGCTTTTAGCCTGCAAGGGTTACCTAATAATAAGCCTTTTTTTAGTACAAAAATATGGAGGAGCAAAAGGAGGTTGGAAATCTGAGAGCGCACTGGCTGATGGCTGGACTGGACGGTGGCCACTCCCTCTAAATTCCCAGAAGCCCCTTTCAAGTATCAATTCTAGGCTTGGCTTCTGTAATGCCTTGCAAAAACCCTTCTCTCTTCAAGGGTAGGGGTTTTTCACCTTCACCCATCCCGGCCTCTCCCCTCCACGCCTGCTGGGTTCCGGGTGTCCCTCCGAGATCACAAACACCTTCACCTCAGGGCTGCCCAAACTTGGCAGACAGTTCCTGTAGCGACGATGGAAACTAACTACCCCGTTGCACATCCCCCCCCCCACCCCCCGCCGAGCTCTGGATTTTTCTGCCGGCACACCCAGCCGTGGAGCTGAGGGCGTGACAGTTCCAGCCTCACCTCTTCCCAGAAATCCGTCCTGGTCCTCACACCATCTGTGAATCGCCCGATACTTGGATTAGCAAGTGTCTTTCCAACACACCCTCCCACACTCTGAGTAGATGGCTAGAGAAATAGGGAAACACACACACCACCACCGCCACCCCTTAAACCTCTTCCGGATGGACCAGCTTCCCGGGAAGTGTTGGGGCTGTCGGAGGTGGCTCTATGGGGAGGTGTCTGAGGAAGCTGGACGCTACGTATTGGCCAGACGGAGCCTGTGGTTGGCGCGGCGGAGACCCCCGGGGCGACGCTGGGCCAGCGCGAGGCTGCGGGATCGCTACCCTCCGGCCGGTTGCGGGGAAAGCTGTGGGTGCGCGCCCCGCCGCCCGCCCCCCGGACGTCGCCGGCCCCACCGCCGCGCCCGGTCCTCGCCGCCGGGGTTCGGGGCCGGGGCAGCGCACCTCTTGGCCCGGACTCGGAGGCCGGGACGAGTGGGCAGCGGGAAGGAGGAAGGAGCTAGGGGGCAGGGCGAGGTGGCAGGTCTGGGGAGGCGGAGGACAGCGGGGTCTCGGGGGACGGAGAGGCCGGGATCGGCGCGGGGAGCGGGCACCGCGAGCCTTCGAGAAGGGAGGGAGGGAGGGCCGGCCAAAAGGGCAGGGGAGAGGAAGCGGCCACCGCGACAGGAGGACCGAGGGAACTGGAGAGAGCCACGGACAGGCGGCGGCGTTCCAGCCCCGCGCGCTGAGCAGCCAGGGACCCCAGGACGCGCTCCCACACCTGTGGCTTCGCTCGGCTCCGGCGCGCAGCCCGCGTCCCGCTCCCGGCGGCCGGGGTCCCCAGGGCCCCGGGACGCGCTCGGGGACCCGGCTCCCCACGTCGTTCAAGGACAGGCTGCGACGGCGCGGGTCAAAGGAGGCGTGGGGTCGGCGCGGAGGGAAGGCTGGGCTGTTGGGGCGCCACGCGCCGGCCCGGGTCCCCGCGGGGGAGCGGGAACAGAGCGGGAAAGGACCACCCGCCCGGCCTGAGGCCGCTCGGGGACGTCTTTCCGGGACGCGGAAGGCGGTGGGGGGCGGGAGGGGGTTGCCGGGCTGGAAAGGTCGGGGCAGACCCCCCCCCCCTCCCCCCCCCCCAAAGCCGGCGCCCCAGAAACGCCGAGGGCTTGGGGAGACGGGGCCCGGGCGGCCGCGGTCCCGCCGAGGGCTGCGGCGCGCGGGACACTCACCCACGGCCCAGTGGTTGCCGCGCGGGTACATCTTGTCCAGCGCGGTGCCCGTGCCCGCCGGCAGCGGGGCGGCGGGGCCCCGGGGCGCCTGGCAGAGGACCAGCGCCAGCAGGACGAGGGGGAGCTGACGGCGGCGCATGGTGCGGGCGGGGAGGCTGGAGTGCGCGCTCGGCACGGAGCGGCGGCCGAGGACCCGGACTCGCAG